TTGTGTTTTAAAAGGATCATTCTGGCTGCTGTGCTGAGAATAGTATAAGGAGACAAGGACGGAAGCAGAGAGACTTGTTAGAAGACTATTTCCATAATCCAGGAGAGAGAGTATGATAGATATATCAGAATGGTAGCCATGGAACTATGGGGAAAAGTGGTTGGGTTCTGTCTATATTTTGAAAGTAGAGCCAAAAGGATTTGCCAATAGATTAGATGTGGACTGTATCAGAGAGAGAGAGAGAGAGAGAGAGAGAGAGAGAGAGATTGGAATTAAGGCCGACTCTGAAGGTTTTGGGCCTGAGAAACTAGACAAATGGAGTTGTTCATATATTGGTGTGGATGAGAAAAGGAGGTTAGAGGGGTATGTTAAGAGCTCAGTTTAGGAATGTGAAGTTTGAAATGCTAATTGGACATCCAGATGGATGTCGAGAAAGTTGGATGTATGACCTGTATAAGTCTGGAATTTGGGGAGCAGTTTAAACTGGAGGTAAGCTGGAGATTGAGAGTTAATGGCCTCTAGATGGGACTAAATTTCACCTGTGGGATTGGACGAGCTCATCAAGGCAGCAAGTGTAGATACAAAAGGAAACTCAGAGATTGAGCCCTGCAGCTCTAACATTTCAAGAATGGGAAGATAAGAACGAACCAGCACAGGAAGGAGGAACTAGAGAGGTAGAAGGAGAACCAGGGCAGTGTGATTGCTGGAAGCAAATCGAAGAGGGGTTTTGGGACCAGTTGTATGGAATGCTGCTGATGGGTCAAGTAGAGTCAAGTCTGCAAATTGACCTCTGGACTCAGCACAGTAGAGGTCATTAGTGACCTTGATAAAGGCAGTTTGCACAGGGCAGTAGTGTAGAGCCTGACTGGAGAATGGGAGGAAAGAGATTAAAGACAGCAAGTCTGTATTCTGAAGTTTTGCTGACTAGGTAAAGAGAGAAATGATGTAATGTTTGGAGGGGAAGGGGGGTAGTCAGGAGACTTTTTTTGTAACATAGAGGAAATAACAGATACTGGTATGCCACTGGGAATGATCTAGTAGGGAGAGAAAAACTGATGATGCAGGAGAGGTGGGAGGCTTGCTGGAGTGATGGACTGTGTAGGTGAGAGGGGATGGGACGCAGTACCCAAGTGGAAAAGCTGTGTTTGGCCAGGACCACAGACAGTTCACCCACAGCAACAGGGAGAAAGCAGGGACACAGATGCAGGTAGGTGGGTAAAAATAGCATGGGAGCTTGTGGGAGTTACATGTTTAATAGGTATTAGGTAAAATAACTAGTACATCAAACCTGTCATTTCATGGATGCTATTGCTAAGCGGAGAAAAAATATTAAGTAAATAGTACTGGGGAGGTATGCAGGTAAAACACAAGATCACTCTTCAATGACTGAATTTGGGGATGTAAGAGGTTATTACTTTTTACTTTTTTCTGGGTAAGAAATGAAAGTCTGAGCTACGGAATGGCTGTGGAGGTAGAGAGAAGGAACAGGCATGAATGAAACTCAACATGTAGTGTTGATAAGACTTGATTAGCCATGGGGAGTGATGTAGGGCTCTCTTTTCCAACGTGGGGCTAAGTGAATGGAATTCTCAGACACAGCGATGGGCACCCTCAAGAGGACAGGTCTAGGGCAGAGATTTTATTCTTTGGGATACAGAGACACAAGAAAGGTCTGAGGCACAGCTGGCTTCTCAAGCCTTCACCAAGAACCAGGGCCCAGTGGACATGCCGGCAGAGAACTGATGAAATCCACTGAGGCAGATAGGGCAGGCCCTGCTCTGGGGTGATCAAAGAATTCAGACAGTGCTACGGGAGGTCTGATGCTGTGGACAGTGGAAGCTTTCTGAAGAAGGTGACCTTGAAGGTCTATGGGGCGGTGGCAGATGAAGGATGGAGAGAGAGCACATCCTGTGCTGGGGAACGGGTAGGGAGCACATAGGATGTGGAGGCAAGGGTGGAAGGCTGGAGCCTGGAATGCTTTGATGATGGTCTCGGTCATTGGCTTAACCTTGATAGCAGTGCTAGGAAGGTCGGTGGAGGTGCGTGGTGGTGAACCTCTGAGGTTAATCTGGAACTGGATCTAGGAGGGGTCTGGGCTGGGGCTGGTTGTGGGGGGCAGGCTTAGTTTGGGGCAGAGAGCCCCCAACTCCTGTGATTGCCCTCATGGTCTTTCCCAATACCCACAGGCAACAGGACCTGTATCGAATCCTGAAGGCTTACACTATCTACCGGCCCGATGAGGGCTACTGCCAGGCCCAGGCCCCAGTGGCCGCCGTGCTGCTCATGCACATGCCTGCTGAGGTCAGCATACGCTGGTCCTGGTTGGGGAGGGACTGGGAGGACCTTGGCCTACAGTGGTGATGGGGGAGCTCTCTGCTCCCTGTTTCTCAGGCCCCTCCCTCCTTCCTTGTTCTCGCTCTTCTCAGCAAGCTTTTTGGTGCCTGGTGCAGATCTGTGACAAGTACCTCCCCGGTTACTACAGTGCAGGGCTGGTGAGTGTCTGGGGGCTGGGTGCACCCAAGGTTGTGACTTTCTCCTGAGGCTGCAGGGAGGTCCTTGTCCTGCCTCCTCCCTCTCCCCCCCCCATTTTGTCCTTTTGTCCCTCTGTTCTGGGCCTCTCCCACTGAGGTGAGGATCCCCCACTAGGGACAGTCCTACCCCACGGGAGCCACAGTAGGCCTCTTCTCATGGCTCATCCCACTTCCAGGAGGCCATTCAGCTGGACGGAGAAATCTTTTTTGCACTGTTGCGCCGGGCCTCCCCGCTGGCACACCGACACCTGCGGCGGCAACGCATTGACCCCGTGCTCTACATGACAGAATGGTTCATGTGCATCTTTGCCCGCACCCTGCCCTGGGCTTCAGTGCTGCGTGTCTGGGATATGTTCTTCTGTGAAGGTACTTCTGTAGCCGTTCAGGCCATGAGGGGGCCGGGGTTTCCATGGTGGCTGCCAGAGAGTGGCCTGCTGCCCGAAGTTACCTCTGGGACCTAGGCTTCCCTGTAAGCAGTCTGGGGGCTGGAGAAACTGGGGCCTAGTCTTGGCTCTGCTATCAGTCCAGAACCTACTGTTCCTCTCAGGAACTCGAAACCCATGGCAGCTCATTTCCCTTCGTGGGACCTCAGTTTCCTCATCTGTACGGTTGGCAGTAGACAGGGATGGGGCCTGTTGAGTCCCTTCTGACTGGGACACACTGAGGTCCCAGCCCTGATCACCCACGCTCTCTTCTTTCTGACCTTGCAGGCGTCAAGATCATCTTCCGCGTGGCCCTGGTGCTGCTGCGTCACACGTTGGGCTCAGTGGAGAAGCTGCGCTCCTGCCAAGGCATGTATGAGACCATGGAGCAGCTGCGCAACCTGCCCCAGCAGTGCATGCAGGAGGACTTCCTGGTGCACGAGGTAGGCCGTGGCCTTAGCACACCCACACCTGCTTCAGCCCATCCCCATCCTCACCTTCACTCCGGTACCCGTTTCTTCTCCGTCTAGGTGACTAACCTCCCAGTGACAGAAGCACTGATTGAGCGAGAGAACACAGCCCAGCTCAAGAAGTGGCGAGAAACCCGGGGGGAGCTGCAGTATCGGCCCTCTCGGCGACTACATGGCTCCCGGGCCATCCATGAGGAGCGTCGGCGGCAGCAGCCACCCCTGGGCCCCTCCTCCAGCCTTCTTAGCCTCCCTGGCCTCAAGAGCCGAGGCTCCCGGGCAGCTGGAGGGGCCCCCTCCCCACCCCCTCCTGTCCGCAGGGCCAGTGCTGGGCCTGCCCCAGGACCCGTGGTCACCGCTGAGGGACTGCATCCATCCCTTCCTTCGCCTACCGGCAACAGCACCCCACTGGGTCCCACCAAGGAGACTCGGAGGCAGGAGAAGGAGCGGCAGAAACAGGAAAAGGAACGTGAGAAGGAGCGGCAGAAACAGGAGAAAGAACGGGAGAAGCAGGAGAAGGAGCGGCAGAAATGGGAAAAAGAGCAGGAGAAGGAGCAACAGAAGCAGGAGAAGGAACGGCAGAAGCAGGAAAAGAAGGCCCAAGGCAGGAAGCTCTCACTGCGTCGAAAGGCAGATGGACCCCCAGGCCCCCAGGATGGTGGGGACAGGTCCTCCGCATCTGAGGCCCGGCAGGATGCTTACTTCTGACCTCTGTCCCCGGGGCTGGACTGCATGGCCTCCCTTGTTTTCCCCTCAGTCAGGAGCAGGCCTGGCCTGGGGTGCTGCCCCGAGCTTCCTGGGCAGACTGTCCTTCTGGGGAAAGTGGTTTGATTTCCCATCTCCTTGCCAGCTGCTGATCCCTACACAGCTGGGACAGTGACAGTGCATGGGGCAGCTGCCTTTCCTCGGGGCAGGTGTGAACAAGTCTGGAGCCCCTTCACCTCCAGTTAGGTCCTGCTGGGGTCTCTGGCACTCCTGCCCCGATTTCCTTTGGGGTTCTTTCCCAGGTGCAGTCCTGATTGGCCTTTTGTCACCTCAGGGGTGACTTGGCAATGGGAATCAGCAGTTTTCAGATTCTTACACTCCAGTTGCTCCCCTTATCCATGAGTGGAGCTGGGTTCCTTTTTCCCTTCTTCAGCCCTGCTGGTCTCCCCCACTTCCTGGCTGGGGGCCACGGCTCTCCTTGCTCTACTTCTGGACATCTCTATTGTAATTATGTACAGAGCAGCTGGTCGGCCCAGGGTGGGGGTGCTTGCTCTGTCTTCTATCCTTTGGTTCTCCTTCCATAATGTTCTTGCACTCGTTTATTTAAGGGGACATGCACTGGCACAGGAAATGTCCCCCCTTTCCCCACCTACCATTCTCCTTGTTCTCTTTCACCCACCCTCCTCTGTGTTCTCAGGCCTCTCCTGCTTTGTCTTACCAGGGCCCCTGCCTTCCACCTTGTTTCCCCTCCAGCCCCTATCTGGGTAAGGGGTCTTCCCCTGAGCTCCAGGGGGTGGAACCCAATGTTTACATTCTCTTGTCTCTGCTCCCACCCTGTGCGGCGCTTCGAGGAATCAGAAAAGAACCTGCTGTTGTACCTGGGCCTGTCTCCTGCCTTGTTCTTTGATAAAGGGAGTTAGAATAAGAACTAGGTGGGGTGGGGGTGGGGAGGAAACAATGGAGCAGGCCAGGATCTGGGTGTCTGCTGAAGCACTCAGCTGGTCTTGGCAGGGAGGGACCTTTTGGCCTTTGGTCCATCTTTCAGTCACTCATCAACAACTGTTGAGCTCCTGCTCCCCCTTTGCCTGGGATCTGCTGCCTCTGTTGTCACTGGACTGGAGTCCTCTACGCACCACCTGCAGCACCCGGATCTCTTTCCCAAAGTGCTCGTGCAACTCCTGGAAGCTGGAGGGGGGACTGAGGGTGGCTAGGAAGCCACAGTCCTCTGGGGGTGCGCTGGGTTCTTGGCCAGCTGCCTGGCACAGCTCCCGGTACTGGGCCTCCAGTGGGGGTAGTAGCGCCACCAGCCGCCTCCAGCTCACCCCAGCCAGTGCCCACAGCCACGCTGCCAGCTCTCCCTGGTTTTCTGCTGCCAGCTTGTAGGTCCGCCCACCTTCTGTGCCCTCAACTCCGGGGGTCAAGATGGTAAAGGCATAGGGTTCTGTGGCCCCGAGGCGTGGCTCCACCTGGCAGTTTTCTAAGAGGATGAGGCCCAGGGGTGTGCGGTCTGCCTGGTGCTCCAGGTAGAAGAGGAGGTTTCCCCGGAGGACAAACCAGCGGCGTTGATAGCTGATATTTCGGGCTCCCTTCTTTAGCAAGATGCCCTCCCGGTCTGGAGCCTGTGTTCTGTATCCGTGGAAGAAACTGAGCACGGACTTTCGGTGCAGTTTCATGGTAGTTCAATCTGGGAGTTAACCCTGGGGGCAGGAGAGAGGAGGGGTGGTCTCCTTATTATCACGGGTACCCCATGCTGCCCTCCTGGGGCTCCAGTAGGTTCTTCCTGGGCATAGCCTTAGTCTAGTGGGATTCAGGACTGTCCTAAAGAGCTAGAGGTCTTGTCCCCACAGCACAGGGACCCTTACCCCCCCCATCCCCCCCTTTAGCTCTCCCCCTTGGGGCCAGCTTACAGATTCTGGGCTGGGGCCGCTGGGGCCCTACTTGCCAGCAGTGGGGCTTTATCCTGAGGCTGTGGTCTGAGAGAGAGGCATTGTTGCCTCTTTCCAGGCCTACCTGAGATCGGGGCACAAGAGGCTTCTAGCCTGGATTCTGGACACAGGAACCACTGTCACCTGTACGGTGATGGCTCTTCCCACCTCTGAAACCAGGAACTCAACCAGGGGACAGGCGTGGGGTAAATGACTTCCCCTGGGTCCTAAAGAGAGCTGGGTTCGGAAAGTGCCCCCAAAGCCAGCTGGGGGCTCCAGGCGGGCCATCGTGGGAACTCGGTCTCTCCTCAGGGAGAAGAGCAAGGCCGCACCTCGGACTAGGAGAGGACAGAACTGGACGCTGACTGGGAAAGCAGGATTCCTATGGAGACGGTGAGGGGCACAAAGCCCTTGGCCAACCCTGGGGAAAGGTGACTCAACTCTGTAAAGGGAACCGGGCCGAAACCCACTGTCCCACTTCGCCCCTCCATGATGCTGGGCGCCCCTTTAAGTAGTGTGCTTCACTTTCTCCCCAGAGTCTCTAACTGCTGTAGGAGGGAATCTAAACCGCATCCGGCCATCCCTATCGTCTGATCAGGGTCTAGGCGTTCATTTGTGGCCTGTTCTCGCCGTTGTCGCCTCCAAACTGCTGACGTCACCCTGGGGAGGGCGGGGTTGTCTTCCCCGCTCTTGGCGTACTTCCGCCCGCTTTTCCAGTTAGTCATCTAATCGGAGTGAAGCCACTTCCGGCCTTCTCTGGAGCCTTCCGCAGTTCTCTTCCGGGTGATGGCGCCCGGCGCCCCGGATGTAGCCCTGGTGAAAGTCTCTCTTTTTCTTCCCCCGCGGCCTCCCGTGGATCCTGAGGTGAGCGCGAGCCGGTGGGGCTGCTCGAATCCCCGCGGCTCTGCCGCCTCTCTTTGTACACTTAGGCTTGTACACTTAGCCCGGGACAGTTGGGGGTCACCCCGCGGAGCTGGGAGTTCAGCGCGGGGCGGAGGGGGTGGCCAGGACGCCAGGTCCTGGGTCCGTCCAGGCCCCGCGGGCTCTGAGGGAGCTGGGGGTGGAGGAGAGGGTGTCAGCCCGCGGATCCCCGTCGCACCCAGGACTGCGGGGGCTAGGGATTGGGGGGGTATGTGGGGGAGCCTGCCTTTTTTCGTCAAGGGTGGGGGTTGCCCGTGGGGAGCCCGTCTGCGCCACCGCCCCTCCGCCCCCGCTCCAGCAACTCTTTTGGATGCCGAACCAAGTCCTGGGGGCCTCCTGGCGGCCAGCTTCCCTTTCGGCCCCTCATTCTGTGCTCCCTCTCCTCCCGAGCTGGATCTAGTGCGTACCGGCTGATTATTTGTTGTGCTGGGGCTCTTCCGAGGTGAGTAGCCTCGCCCACTTCCCTTAATCTGCATCCTTTCTCTCAGCTCAGCCCAGGGAAGGCTCTTCAGTCCAGTCATGCCAAAGAGGAAAGTGACCTTCCAAGGTGTGGGAGATGAGGATGATGAGGATGAAATCAGTGTTCCCAAGAAGAAGGTGAGGGGGCCAGACTCCTGCATTCTTAGGAGGAGTGAGGGGAGAGAAAGAACTAGAAGCCAGAAGAGAAAGAAGGGGGCGGGGGGCAAAGAAAGCAGAGAGGGGGCTAGCTTTTCCATGTTCTCTGGGAAATGGGTTTGGAGAATTTCCAGTTGGGCAAGGTTTTGAAGAAAAATCTACCTGGAGTATTTTGAGGAATAGCCAGTAACCTGCATCTCTCAACTTGCTGGCCCTTCCTCACAGCCAGTGGATCCTGTGGCTGGGGTAGGGGGTCCTGGGAGCCGCTTCAAAGGCAAACACTCTTTGGACAGTGATGAGGAGGATGATGATGAAGAGGAGGGGTCCAGCAAATATGATATCTTGGCTTCGGAGGATGTGGAAGGTGAGTTAAACCCAAGAATTGATTCTGCTGGAGGAACAGATAGAGCTTTTGGGGATGGGGGGGGTGGCAAGGGCGTGCGCGCGTGCACGTGTGTGTGTGTGTGTGTGTGTGTGTGTGTATGTATGTGTGTGTGCGTGTGCGTGCACCCAGCACGGGATGCCTGTGTCTTTCATGCAGGTCAGGAAGCAGCCACGCTCCCCAGTGAGGGAGGTGTGCGGATCACACCCTTCAACCTTCAGGAGGAGATGGAGGAAGGCCACTTTGATGCTGATGGCAACTACTTCCTGAACCGGGATGCTCAGATCCGAGACAGCTGGCTAGACAACATTGACTGGGTGTGGCCCAGGGGCTGACGTGGTGGGGGCCTGGAGGCAGCCAGTGCTGGGCTTGGGCCCTGCTCACGGTTTGTAGGAGATAACCACCCCCACCCCTGTTTTCACATCACAGGTGAAAATCAGGGAGCGGCCACCTGATCAGCGCCCACCGTCCGACTCAGAGGAAGAGGACAGCCTGGGCCAGACACCAATGAGTGCCCAAGCCCTTCTGGAGGGCCTTCTGGAGCTGCTGTTGCCAAGAGAGACCGTAGCTGGCGCACTGAGGCGTCTGGGGGCCAGAGGAGGAGGCAAAGGGGGCAGCAAAGGGGGTGGGCGGCCCAGTTCCCCCCAGCGCTTGGATCGGCTCTCTGGGTTGGCCGACCAGATGGTGGCCCGGGGCAACCTTGGCGTGTATCAGGAGACAAGGGAACGATTAGCCATGCGGCTGAAGGGGTTGGGGTCCCGGACCCAGGGACCCCCTGAGCCCACACCCCCTCCCTCTCTGGACATGTTTGCTGAAGAAGTGGCAGAGGGGGAGCTGGAGACCCCAACTCCTACGCAGAAGGGAGGTAAGACTGGAGGGCAGAGGAGGAGTGCTGGGGGCAGGGGCAGGGGCCAGGGAACTTGAGGCCCAGATGGCCTTGTCTGTTGTTTTAGAAGCAGAGTTGCCAGGAGATGGTCTGGTGGACGTGATGTGGGAATATAAGTGGGAGAACACAGGGGATGCTGAGCTGTATGGGCCCTTCACCAGCACCCAGATGCAGGTAAGCCCCTTTCTACTTCTTTCTGCCTCCCCCACCGCCCATACCAGTCCTTTCTCAGCTCTTGCTCTCTTTTCCTGCAGACCTGGGTGAACGAAGGCTACTTCGCAGATGGTGTTTATTGCCGGAAGCTGGACCCTCCTGGTGGACAGTTCTACAACTCCAAACGCATTGACTTTGACCTCTATACCTGAGCCTGCTGAGGGCCCGGTTTGGTGGCCCCTTCTTTCCTGAACTCTCTGGAGGAGGCCCCAGCTGCCTCAGGCAGTGAGGACTTGAGGGGCCACTTTTCAGTCAATTTCCCTTTCCCAATAAAAGCCTTTGGTTACATATTAGGGCCTTGGCTGTGCTGATGGCCAGAAGCCAAGGACCCCTTTGGACTCGCCTCATGAGTGTTTTCTCATGAAGTTCCTTCTTGGGAGTTTCTGGTTATTTGAACCACTTCACCTTTGTCACTCTGGGGGCAGAACCAGGGCTTTCAGGTGGCCTCTGGAGTTTCCTCACCATCTAAAAATCCCTTTCACTCACATGCTGTCCTCCGGTATCCTCAGAGGGGACTCCTATTTTGCAGTTGTTAGGTCTTTGGCCTTCAGAACCTCAGAGTCTCTGTCTTTGTAGCCGGTGTAAGGTAGAGCACCAGAAGTGGAGATTTTAGGCCTTGGGGGTTGGGACATCTGTTTGGGGGGAGTAGGAAGCCTGGTATCCACTGACTCCACTGTATTAGACTTCGTAGGGAAGTGCATACTCAGTGTTGGCACTTGAAAGCCCCTTCAAGGCCACCTGGGCCAACCCCTGAACTGGCACAAAGAGGGCCAGTGCCTCCCTGGAACTCACACAGCAAACCAGAGAGCTGGCCCAGCCCCAGTGGGTTTCTTTTCCCAGACCTTTCTTCGCACCCTTGAAGTCCTGTGAGGTTTACATTTCCTGAGCTCCCAGTGTGCGTGGGCAAGTGCGGTGAAGGAGCTGAGATAACTGGGTTAGTCCTCTTCCAGGAATTCAGATTCTGGGGGGTGTGGTTGGGAGGGAGACTGGTATAATTGTATTGTCTGGACCTAGCACCTCCCACCTCTTGCCAGGGCTGCCTTCTGCCTCTTTCTTGTACCAAACTAGGTTGAACCCTCCACTTTTCTACCTTGGTTGTCCATTGGAGTCTCAGGGGAGCTGTAAAATTACTCCTCAAATTCTAAACGAATTAGTCTAGATAGTGGCTCAGTGGGTGGGGCTTTTTGAAAGCGCCCAGGTGTTTTCCAACGTGTGGACAGGTGGAGAGCCACTGGGCATGACTCAGGACTGAGGTTACACCCGGAGGGGCCACTTCCCAGGTCCTGCTGTGGTGGCAGAGCTGAGCATGTGTGGCCAGGGTTCTGCTGGTCTGAAACAGGATTGCTGAGCACCAGGACCCCAGGTGGAAGGATCCAGGCTTGGAAGTAGGAAAGACGGCAGGTTGGGGATACTTGATGCTCTATGAGGCCTCCAACTTCTGTATTAAATTGGGTCCATGCCGGTGCCAGCCCAGACTTAGTGGTCACTGATTCCAAAATGCCTTCAGTTGTAAGAAGTGTTTATGTGTCATTAAGAAAACCCTGCCAATTGCATTTGTAAGATGTCCTTGATTAAAAGGTGCATCTGGATTTCAGAAGTGAAAAGCAATACAGCTGGTCACCTTTATAACCCCAATGACTGACTCATGGGAGGTGTTTACTGTTGGGTGAATAGATGAAAGCCAAGGGGGCGGTTCCCTTGGATGTACCACTGGCACCTCGGGCTCCACACATCCAGGTGTCACCCCACCTACCCCTCACAGTGTCCTCCTGTGATCACCTTCCTGATGTCAGGCTGTGTAGGCAGAATAATGGTCCCCCGGCGATGTCCATGTCCTCAACAAAATCTGAATATGGGACCCTACGTGGCAAAAGAGACTTTGCAGATGTGATTAATGACTGAGGTGGGCAGGGGGGCGTGCTATCCTGGATTATAGAGGTGGGTGGGCCCAATGTCATCACAAAGGTCCTATAAAGTAAAAGAGCGGAGGGTCAAACAGCTGCTGGCTTCGAAGACGTAAGACCAGGCCATATGCCAAGGAATGCAGTGGCCTGTAGAAGCTGGAGAAGGCAAGAGAACAGTCCTTCCTGAGCTGCTACCAAAAAAAAAAAAAAAAAAAAAAAAAGCCCCACTGAGGATTTGAACCCAGTGAAAAGCATTGTGGACTTCTGACCTCCAGAATCCTAATAAAGTTGTGTTATTTCAAGCCACAAAGTTTGTGGTTATTTGTTACAGCCCTGATAGGAAACTAACACATACCCCACCTAGCTGAATGCCTCTCCCCTTCCACAAGCATCACTGGAGTTCTCTTCCCTTTGGCTGTGGCCCTGCTGCAAGCCCCTATCAGCACTTCACTCCTTTGCCTTTCCTAAAACTGTTAGGTGTGTACATAAAATTACTATTTTTTACCAAGAGCTTTATTGAGATGTAATGCACCCATTTGAAGTGTACACAGTTCAGGAGGTTTTTTTTTTTTTTAGAACATTCACAGGGTTGTGCAGCCATCACCACAATTTTAGAACATTTCTGTCAACTGTAGAAGAAACCGCCCCTCTTACTCCCCACCCTCCTCATCCTCCAGTCCCTGGTAACCACTAATCTACTTCCTGTCTCTGTAGAGTTGCCTATTCTGGCCATTTCGTACAAACGGACTCCTACAATTTGTGGTCTTTTGTGTCTTCTGTGTCTATTTAGCCAGTTTTTGAGATTAAGCCATGTAATATGCAATAGTAATCTTTTTTATTGTTGACTATTCCACCATACGAAGGTATGGTATATTACCATTAACTAAACCTCACACTTTCTTTGAGTTTTACTAATTTTTCTCTTCTGTCCCTTGTCTGTTCCAGAATATCTTCTGGGACACCCCTTTACATTCAGTGATCATGTCTCCTTACCCTCTGGTCTGACAATTCCCCAGAGTTGTTTTTGCTGACTTTTGACAGTTTTGAGGAGAATTGGTTAGGTATTTTGTAAAATATTCCTCAAATTTGGGTGCTTTTTTTGGTCTGGGATTTTTCTCGTGATTGGATTTGAGTTATGGTTTTGGGGAGGGAGACCATGGAGGTGAAGTCCCTAACCTTTTACTGGAAACTTATAATGGCTTCATTTCCCTCGAGATAAAGTTCAAAAGCTTGAAGGTGACTGAGAAGGTCTTCCAGGGCCTGGCTCGATGCAGCCCCTCCAGCTCCACATCTGCCTTTACTTTCCTTCTCCATTTTCTTCCCTGATTCCAGGCTCCAGCCTTATCCCAGAACAGGGCAATTTGATTTCTCCAGGCCTGGCCAGTGATGCTTTTCTCTTCTCTATCTATCTGGGAAAGACCAATTAATAGATCTGTTGTACTTAATTCTAGGTCTCCTTTTTTTTTTTAATGTTTATTTTCTTATTTTGAGAGAGAGAGAGAGAGCGCGCGTGCACACACACACACACACACACACACACACGGGGGAGGGGCAGAGAGCAAGAGGGAGCCACAGAAACCAAAGCAGGCTCCAGGCTCTAAGCTGTCAGCACAGAGCCCAATGTGGGGCTCGATCTCGTGAACCACGAGATCATGACCTGAGCCGAAGTTGGACACTTGACCAACTGAGCCACCCAGGCACCCCTAGGCCTCCCTTTCCTACAGGCTTCCTAATAATCCACTCCCCACCCCCCTGGTTGCTCATTGTTTCTTCCACTGTGCCCAATAGCACAGATGTCTGGCCCCATACCCAGAGCAGTTTTTGCTGGCCTGTCTCCACCAGTTGGTCTGAGACAGGGGTTCAGTGCTGATGAATGACTAGGGGATGAGCCAAGTCTTTCCCGGTGGGACTCTTTGTCCTTGCTGTCCCAGAAGGGGTGAGGTGTGACCTGGATGGGCAGTGTACAGGTGTCTAGACCCAATAGTCTCTCAGGGAGCAGGGCTGAAGGATCAGTAGGGTCATTTTTACTGAGGCCATGGGCAAATTTACAGGGGGGTTCACGGTCAAAGCTGCAGATGTCATCCCTGTATCTGGGACACCAGAGCCTTTTGTCTGTGGCAGGCCATTTTCCAGAAGACTGGCAAGAGTGGGAGAAGGCGAGTCCAGGCTCAGGCTGTCACACCCTTCCCTGGGCATCTGGTGGGGTCCTTGGGGAGACAAGGATGGAGGAGGACTTCAAAAAGGAGTTAAAATTGGCAAAGAGTCAGGCTCCACAAAGCCCACGGAGTTTGGGGGTCCCTTAATGCCTTTGACACATCTGTCACCCCTTCCAGACCCACCTGGCTGGTTTGATGCCTCTTTGCAGGGCCACTTATGCCAGGCTCCCAGGCAGTGGGGAGGCCTGAGACTGAGCGGCTTGCCTTCCATTCTGCTCCCAGCCAGGGCCAAGTGGAAGCCCTGGAGATGCCCAGCTCTTCCTGACACTGAGACCCAAGGGGAGTTTCTTTCAAGGGTGGATTTGGAAGCGGATGTTTTGCACGAGGCCCAAGGGTGGATGATGTTTCTTCCGAACTCCACATGGAGGCCAGGCTTGCCCCTTGGTCCTTTCTGGCCATTCCCCGGGTTCAAGGGTATGCCGTTCTGTGGTCGGTTCAAGCGGCCACCAGACCTCCTTTTGCCCCCTCCGGGGGGCCATCCCAGCACACATCTCCCTCTGGCCAAGTGGGGTCTGCTCACCCTGTCCCCACCAGTCTCCCTTGTTCTCCAGGAAGCTTGTCTGGCTCAGCCTGCCCTGTAGATAAGACCCCACCTATCTGTGGAGACACCACACGTGACAAGCCTGTACAACCCACTGTAGATGCTGGCGCTGCCTGAGACTTGCTTGGGTAGCCTCTGGTTTTCCTGTTCTGATGCTATTGTTCTTGCCCACGTTTTCCTGTCTCCACTGACTACGCTACGCATCTCTGCCCCGCAGCTCCAGGGGCGTCAGCTCCACTACCCTGTTTTGGAGACATTTCTCTGTCTCAACTCTTCAACTTGCTTAAATACAATGTCGGCTTTTCCCAGGCTTAAAATGTGGTACTAAACCTATCTGCATTTGAAAGGGCATCTGGCATTTCTTTTCTTTTTCTTTTTCTTTTCATTTCTAATGTTTATTTATTTATTTGGGGGGGGGGGGAGCGCAGACAGAGAGGGAAAGAGAGAATCCCAAAGCAGGCCCCGCGCCAACGTCAGCCACGAGATCACAACCTCGGTTGAAATCAAGAGTCAGATGCTCAACCGACTGAGCCACCCAGGTGCCCCTGGCATTTCTTAAGTATTTAAATAAGTTAGGAATATTATGTGTAGTCTTTCTGACTACCTACTATTCAGTTACGAATGTCCTCCATTTTGCTGATGAGAAAAGCGAGGCTCATAGAGGTGAAGTGATCTATCTCAT